AATGAACGGGGCCTGTAAGCCCTAAGTTTTAGGCTTTTAGGCTGAATGTCCGGGACGGGCCCTGTAGGCCCGTGTGGCTACGCAGTATGCCACACTGTCTGTCTGTCTGTCTGCCTGGCTTGCTGGCTGTGCTACTGCCCTTTGAAAAACAAGAAAATTCTAAGCTTCCTCGATTCTTGCTTGCTGGCTGGTGTGCCACAGCGCTGCCTCACCACACGTCCCCGAGAGGCTCGCTGGTGCGCTGGCGGGACGCAGCGGAAAGCTGTCAGTGTGCAGCACGGCCGAGCGGCGGCCATAGCCAAGCCGCTGTCTCTGGTAGCCGGAAGGGGTATGAGGCAGAGGTCCTTGGCTGAGCGGGTTGCGGAGGTCCGTGCGTGCTGGCGCTGTGGAGTGAGTGGGTTGTGGGTGATGTGTGATGGGAAGAGAGAGTTCACAGAGCTCTCACCTGGTGATGATGAGCAGGTCGGTCCAGCCAGAGTCTTCATTCCCCCGTCAGGCAGCTGCACTTCAAGGTGGGTGTCTACCTGTTGGCGTTATTTTAGGTGCTAGCCTGCTAGGCTAGTTCAGGTGCTGTTGGATTGTGGTCTGGGCGCGCCGAGCCCCATATAGAAGAGTGGCATTGAATACATCGATGGCGGGGGAGCGAAAAGAGGGCTTGCATTGTCACTTCATTCCATTGCTTCGCGAAAAGAGGGGCTTACATTGTCAATGGACCCCACTGCTTTGCTCTTATTTGCTGTATACCTTGGTACATTCTGCTTTCTGTTCGCGCAAATGGCTATCTGGCTTTCAATGGGATGATGCAATCTGTTATTGTTGTTGTTTTTTGCAAAAACACCAGTTGGCCCTGCCAGTGATCTGGTTTCTGTAATCCGCATTGCTCATTTTCCTTGCATTTATTTCCTTTCGGACCTTTTTTTTTTTTTTTTTTCACCTCTCAGATTTGGTTGGAAGATTTCCAATGATCCAGCCCACTTAACAAATACTACTGTTTGCTACATAGTACATAGTACATATGCAAGGAATATGACACATTCCTCACACATACATGTGTCATGAGCTCAAAACTTCAAATCCTGCGGGATCAGATTGATACGACGAAGTTAAGCGCTAAAGGCTACTCCCTTTCTGAAAAAAAAAAAAAAAAAAAAAAAAAAAGTCCTTGCGACTTGTTCGTACTGCATGGCCACACAATGTACTTTTTTTGCAGATTCTTTTTGAATCTCGTTTTTGCTTTTCGGTAAAATTTACAAGTAAAATTTGAGGGAAAAAAATAAAATAAAAATATATACGTTCTTAAATGGTTCTTCTTTTAACTTTTAAGTTTTAAATTTTAATCAATGTCGACATTGTCGAGTCTGGCCACACCATCCAGGCACTGAAATCCCCTACCCTTACCCCTATCCTAACCTTATTGCACTCAACAACGTTCGAACACCGAAGCTGATTTTCAACCATTATTATATAATTATTATTATTATATAATTATTAATTATTATAATATATATATGTGTTTAGTAGTTTACTAGTTTACCATCCAGCCAGCAGTGGCCAGGTGGCCCCTTCCTGGCCCCGTTTGCGCACTCACCTGAAAATTTTCTTCCTTAACTGGCTTCGATAGTAGCTTTATCGCCACTGCGCGGTCATCCATAAATCCCTTGTAAACAACAGACTTCGCGCCGGAGCCGATAACCAAGCTAAAGTTCGAGGCCGTGCTGGTAAGCCTAGATCTGGCCAGAACACGTGGCGAAATCTGGGACATCGTGGCGGTGCTTGATGCTGACGGGACGGCCGGCGTGCCGATGCCTTATCAAGTTATCACACATTATAACAACAGCAACAAGAATATACATCATCAGCAAAGGAGAAAATCTGCAACGTTATCATGTCCTCTACTAGGCTACCAGAGTGGCGTGGGAACACTTGCCCGGCCGGGGCAAAAAAAAAAAAAAAAAAAAAGTTTTTGTCATTTTCAACATTCTGACCTTAAAATTTATTGAAAATTTAGTAAGGAATTTTTGATTTGACCCTGAGGCAAACGTTGCTCAGTTTATTTTTCTGCATAAGTTAACATAGTTTTTTTTTTTTTTCAGATTTTTTCTAGGCTACCAGAGTGGCCCGGGACCACTTGCCCGGCCGGGCCAAAAACAAAATGAACAAATAAAATAAAAAATATAATTTTGAATTAAAATTTTATTTTTAAGTTTATTTTCTATTTCAAATTTGGTAAAGAATGTCGATGTCACCCTGAGGCAAAAGTTGTTCAGTTCATTTTTGTGCATAACATAGTTTTTTTTTTAGATGTTTTGGATTTTGGGGACCTTTCCTGGTCCTTGCACGGCCGGGCCACCGGGGAAAACAAGGTCACCCAGGCGGCCCGGCTGGTAGGGAGGCATCTACAAATACACATACACACAAAATGAGTACGCAGTCACAAAGTAACACACAGGATCAACAGAAAACCCGCGTTACGGGATGTTCCAGAGGAAAAATTTAAAATTGACATCATAGGAGGGTCCCATCCAAGGCCCGGCTGGTAGCCTAGTTGTTGTTGTTTTTTTTTTTTTTTTTTTTTTGCTGGGACCTTCTGTGGCCCTTGAACGCCCGGGCCTCCAGGGCAAACAAGGTGACCTGGGCGGCCCGGCTAGTAGGGGGCACATACAAAGATGCACACAACTTCACAAATCATGTACATGGTCTCGCAGAGACAGTAAACAGTAGCCTAGGTCCTCCACATATTCAAACGACTCTGAAAGTTCAAAGAATCAAAAGATTCAAAACCCCTTTTTTCATGGTTGAGAACCGGACGTCTGGATCCCGATCCAGAGAGTCTCGGTCTGGATGTCCGGGTCCGGGTGTCTGCTCCAGCAGGACGGGATGGGCCTTCCAAAGTGAAAATCCGAAAAAAAAAATGGTCGTGCCCAGGTGGTTTTCCAGGTCCTGCGCGCCCCCGCAAAAATGTCTGGGACATTTTTTGGTCTTCGGAGGCCAGTCTGGACAGACCCTGATGAGCTGGGGACTCAATTGGGAGGGCAGTTGGGAGATAGTGGGAGGTACCCAGATGATTCACTTTTTTATACTTGTTTGTGTTTAAGTTGTGTGCAATTCTTTTTTAATATATTTTTATACTTGTGCAATGTGCCCAGTTGTGATAATCAGTCGTCACTCGCAAAGACAAAATAGACGAACGCTGCTGATAAATCATAATAATAATGATCCCAAAATGAGAGAGAATGCATACACAGACAAGAGAGGGAGGAGGGAGAATAGACTTTGAGAGGGTGGAAGAGTCTCCTCCCTACAGCCCACTTCCTCTTCGGGCACTTCCTCCTTCTAACCGCATAATCATGTCTCAATCAGAGATCCGGATATCCAAGACAATGTAGAACAATAGTGCCATGTGGCACCAGCAGACCAGTCATCAAGCAGCAACGTGACGACGAAGTTGAAGACACCAGGTACGTATCACGACCCAAACCACAATCCTGGATCCTTCTTCCGAATACTTGTCAAGCAGAACAGCAATATAGGCGCCCAGCGTCTTCCATCTCAGCAGCAATACTACGTGGCAGCAGTCACGAAGATAACACGTGGCATCTGCCACGTCGACAACCCCTCAGACAGTAGTGCGCCAGTCAGCATGCTGGTCGCACAGCACACTCAAGCCACGAACCAGCGACGAGCGCCGGTCGTCAAGTTCTCCGCAGCGTCTCGCCAGCAAGACAGCATAGAGCCGGCATTGACGCGAGAGCGTCGAGTCCCCATAGACTCCAGACGAGAGTCTAGATGTCAAAGCCA